AAAAAACAAGGAACAAATTGTCCACACGTGCCCATGAACAAGGGTTCCGTCCAACAGGCAGAACAGCAGACAGAAGAACAAACATAGCGGAACAAATCGTACATATACAATGGTCGGTGTGAAAAGCAAAGGCTTCCGCTTAACTCTCGCTCACAAAGCAGAGCCGCTCCAGTCGAATACTCAGCAAACAAAGCAATAGCACTAGAAAGGCAAAGCAATGCAAGAGATCGAGTCAAAGTCTTGGTTTCCCTTAGGTTAACTGCACAGCTAAGAGACAAAGCTATGGCGACCCTTCGCACTAGCGGCCTTTTGCTGGACGTTGAACAATTGGCACATATTGAGCAGTAAAGCTGCGAGAGTAAAAAAGTTGGCATGAAACGTAACAAGCACTCGAGGTGCACGTAGACACGAGTCAGTGACAAATCACAGTCTGCAACAGCGATAATAAGGAAGGAAACATGACGGAACAAATCGTACATATGCAATGGTGGGTCCCAGCGATAGACAGGACTCAACAAAACACATATCAGTTCTTTCATGGCACAGCACTCATATCCCCGAGAGTACGGCGTTCGTGACAAGGCAATCTGTACAGCTGTCACTTGTCGATGTCCATAAAGAACAGAGGAAGTCTTCGTCACTGCATTTCGAAGACATCTGGTCCTACAGAGGTGCACAACTTAAATCCAGCCAACGCACCGCACAGTCTGCGCGCGCTGCTTTAACATATGAATGCCTGCGGCTAACAGGAGGTTACATCTCACGATGCTGCCGCAAATACGCCGGACATATTCGTAAAGTCGCTTTTGGCTGCGAGCCTTTTCCTCCAACCGACATTGCAGTGAAGCAAGATTACAGGCATCGCGATCATCATCTTCAACGACCCACAATGGACGCAGAACCGCTAACTGTACAGGCATAGCCGCAGTCTGATGCACATACACCCTTGTATCGACAAGGTAACCAAGAATCTCATTCAGCATAGAAGATGGCAAAGCCATGTACGGAACAGTTAGCCACAGTGCAAGTTTAAAGCTTTCTGATTCGTTCTCTGCCCATTCCTGCGCCAACACCCGAAGCCAGCCAAACACTTCCTCCCGAGTTTGCTGCGCCCTGCGTAGCAGAGGCGCAAACAGCCGTCTTTCCCGCGTGCTGATAACTACCGGCATCTGGTTCCAAGCCTCTTGGAATGTGCCAATATTGAGAACCTCGGGCACATATAGCATGGTGACCGGATGCACGGGATGTGGGTTCATGGCGAAGCAAGTCAAGCAACTACTCGATCACAATGCTTTGCAAATGCTGCATGGCGGTAGTGATTTGATACACACATGTGCTCGACAATCCGAGACACTCACAATGCACGCATCAGAACGCGTCAGCAGGCTTCGGAGATGTTCTCCTTCGCAAGTGGAGTAGATGAGTTTTCAGGAAAGCTCGAGTCTCGAGACACGACACACCTAACCCAGACGCTGCGGGCCTATAGCCTGCGCAGTGTATATAAAAGCAGCTCCAAAAACGAGTCACTGTACAAATTCTCGCAGAGCTGATTGGTAGCACAGGCAAGCCAGCTGCATTTGGCTACGCCTGTGCGTACACCTGTCACTGTACATTTCTGTCAGCGGAAAATACTGGAGTAGTGCGCAGCCACTACGGAGCTCGCGGCCTTGAACTTGTCTGCTTCGGCGTTCCAATGATGAAACTGGAATTCGCGGACTCTGCTTTCAATCGTGGACTCATCGGCTTTGGTACTTTTGGGTAAGCCGAGAAGCTTCAGCTGCCTCCACAAGTTATCGATGAGTTGTGTGCCCTTCTGAACCCAAGTGACCTCCGTCTCGCTCTGCTTCAAGCTTCGAGCATCAGTGTGTGCCTTTGCCTGGTCACGAGGTAGCCGATGCCTCCATAAGGCTGCGTAAACCGGTCTAGGCTTTTTGTGCTTGACAGCATCCGTCACTACACCTGGAATCCGGACATATCGATAAGCTCTGGCACCATCACAGTGCAGCAAGATTTTTCTATTTTTCAAGTAGCGACATCCAATACGCTTCCATTCCTCCTTCGTGATCGGGCCTGCTGGGCCTGTGGATCCCGTGCCTGACCCTGTCTTCTTGACAGATGTGGTTCGAACCTTCATCTTCACAAGGACTAAACTTCTGCGATTCCCTCTTTCCAGAATCCCAAGATATTGGTGCCATGCTACCCTGTTGCCACAGCGCTTCCCTCGTAAAGTCACCTCGTCGACTTCACACTGCACCCAGCGCTGCAGATTTCCGAAAGGCTTACTGTCCTGCTGCTGCTCAACGAACCGAATCAAAGCTTCACGCCACCGCTGCGATAATGATTGAACTGCCTTCGCGCCGAGCCCTGTGAGAATGTGAACTTGGCCGGATCCTAGTCTTGCAGCGTTGCAGAAGAGCACTTGCACTTGCTGTCGCAATGGTATGTAGGATTGCCCCCATGCACAAGTGAAAAATGGATGCTCAGCATGTGGCAAGACGAACTTATGACACTTCCATCCCTTGCACCGCTGCACCCACCCTCGAGAGCGATGAAAGAAAGGTGGGCAAACTTTACCAGTCTTGCAGTGGGGACATCGCACGAACTTCCACAGTATTCCGATAGATATCAGATATGTGATAAGCTTCCTTTCTGACCACTGCACCAGGTCTGCGAAAGAAACGCACCACCTCTGATGTCTCAGCTCTGCTTTCGTCTTGTTGTCCAGCTGTTGTTCCACAGGGATGTAAGGCACGTCTTGACGTTTTGGCTTCTTTGCTGCCCTTGCTGGCTTGCGGAGTACCAGGCGTAAGGTTCCACGTTTCGGATTCGGGGATGAATGTACGCCAGGCTTCTTCATTGCGCTACAGTGAACTACCTTTGTGCACCACACTGCGACTGGGACGCAGCAGGTCAAGCAGCTACTATTTCTACAACGGCTTTGCTGCGGATTCGGAAGTCAATGCCAAGCGAGCACTACCTTTGCAAAACCCCATGAGGAACTGCGGCTGTGGCATGGCAAAACAAACAGCTGCTCCTTGCACAACTTGTCATGCGTTGGGACAGCTTTTCTGATCTGATGAGAACTTCAAAAGATTAGCGATCAATACGGCGCATCAAGCAGGCAGACCGCTGCATCCGGTCATACCAGTATGTTCTGCAATCATGAACTTTATATGTACAATGATCAGCATGACTGATAGCTCATATTGCCGTCTAAAAGTATAGCCCCAAAAACGAGACACTGTACAGACTCTCGCAGGGCTGATGCTGGCAAAGAAGCATCAAGCGGGCAAGCCTCTGCATTCAGCTATGCATCGCTCGTCTTTCATTCCTGCCATGCGAAAATATGAGTCGCTGTACATGACTCTCCCACGCAGGACGATCAACATCAAATATCAAACAGGCTACCTCCAGAAGAACGGAAAGCCATACGACAAATCAAACAGGCAGACCACTGCATCCGGCCATACCCTTATGCCGCTTGCTCTCCCTTGGGATCCTTCCGTCGCCATTACCTTTTCTTGCCTTTGCGTTTGTCGCAATTGTTTTGCCAAAAAGCTTGAAGAGCACCGCTGGAGATCTTTGCTCGATCCAATAAGGCAGTGTCAAATTCGTCGCTGTCGTCATTGGGCAACGCCAGTACGAGGCAGTCTTTACTTTCATCATAGCTCCCCAGCGCTGTTGGCACCGCTTTGGCCAAGGATCGGAAATCACTCACCGCGAGCGGCTTCGCAAGCTTATCTTTTTGTCGGGCGACATTGTAAATTGCTCTGCTCTTGACAATGTAAGGACCGGTGTCCGTATCCTTTTCAGCCTTCATGAGCAAGCGACGCAAAAGCTCGGTGTCCAGGATACCACTATGCTGAGCTTGTGGGTCCCACGACTTGTCTGGACTTGACTGTTGAAGTTGCGCTGACAGATGATCTTCATCCGACTGCTTCCTTTTGCGAGTAGCGTCCGCAGCAGCTGCCACCGATGCAAAAGCGGTCGTGCCAGAATGTCCGGACATAATGGCAACAATACTTTCTAAAATCTCAAGCAAGCCAAATGCACGCGATACAACATTTACAGTTACCAGTACTGGCTGTGTCTGGTCGGCGACAGGTGCTTCCTGCTGTTGCCATGCGATGTCCCACAATGCCAGGCTTGCACTCAGCACTCCAAGCTTCCATGGACAGCAGCCCATTTGGGCTGCTTGTCCGATATCTTCATCTTGCCGGGCCTGTGCCACCAGAATATTGAAGTAGGCACTGTAGGACTGGAAGGCCAGATTCGCGTCGTCCGTGAATCGAAGCTCGCGGTGGTCTAGCTCGAAAGCATCTGCTAAGCGGTTGGCAGCTGCTTCAAGGTCATACTCTTCCGGAATGTCAATATCGCGCACTGCCATGCTCCATTCTGCAACAATGTCATCGTCATCTCGCCTGCGAAACCGGATGCGCGTCGCCACCCCATCTGGCAACACATATTTCCACCCGTCAATATCGGGGAAGTAGCCATCTTCCGAAAACTCAACACCGATGTCATCTGGAGGATCATTACCAGCAGGACTAAAGAATTTCTGAGCTGCCTCAGGCGATGAAAGACATTTCAAGTTCAGCAGATCCCTCAGAACATCAGGTAGTGGACAGAACATGACCTGCGCCCGGACACCGC